AAAAATAAGGGCAAAATAGTCATTATGAAAAAGTTTTTCTAGAAAACTGGACCAAACTCGCAACAAAATGAAAAGTTTGGACCTCTGGTGCTAGTCCAAACCTTTTTGGACCAAAGTGGCAATTTTCAGCTAACCACAGGGACCATTTGTGCAGTTTTGTCTTCGTAAAAATTACTAAATTATATATAAAAGTTAGCTAAAAATCTAAGAGTATCAGTTATTTATTTTGAATTATTGCTTTTTATATTTGTACTAAAATGAGTTTTAGTGAATATTCGGTTTGCCTTGTAACGGACATTGTAACTGACAAGAGGTGAGAGATAGTAGAAAAAACCTAGAGTATGTTTCCCCATAGGAAGGGATTTTTCAATTCGCTTACATATTTTCAGAGTATATTAATTTTAAAGATGTTCTATATTTGGTGAAAATAAAAACTTGTTTGTTATATAAATATAAAATTAGTCTTCACTTCCATAATCCTAAATTGCATCATTACATAGCCGAGAAATTAAATATATTCCTACCTTTTATTCCTACTTATCCTCCTACAAATATGAAATGATGACATGTGTTGCATTTTAATAAAATTAATAACATTTTAAGACACTTGTCATTATTTCACATAGGTAGGAGGATAAGTAGGAATTCACTTTGATACGTGCTTTGATTATCATTGTAATTAAATCGGTTGGAGGAAAAACTGGGAAAGCTTTTGTAACTATTTCTTTTCATAGACATATTTCCCTCGCATCGAACATCGAAGATGAATTCGCTTTGATACGTGCTTGGATTATCATTATAGAGGAGGATTTTCTACTTGGTCCCCAACAAATTCATGTTGAAGCTTTTTGGAATCACGTCTTTCATTTGTTTCACTATGAAATAAGTTGCAATTAATACCACACAAAAGGAGATGTAAAAGTCAAGTTTTTGGATTTAGTGTCCGATCCTTTCACATTAACAACCGCGATTCTAATGGCTATCTTACGAAAGTTGCTAATTTTTTAGCTATTTTTGAAAAGTTATTAGTGTTCTTATCTATTTTGAAAAATTTCTCCAATTATTATATGATGCTTAATAAGAAATTGAAAATTCAACTTTACTCAAAGGGTATTCACCAACCCTTCAAAACACCTAACTATCCAAACTCTTCACAATTCAAAAAAAAAAAATAGTACTAATCACATCAACGATTAGATAAGTTTGTGTATTGGGTTAAAATCACATGTCGAGAATTGAATAGGTAGTTGATTCTTTGAATACAATAAAGGGAAATCTCCAGAAAAGTCTTAAAATTTTATCCTAATTTACGAAAAAAGTCTCAAACTAAATTTTGTTTACGAAAAAGCATGAATTACCGGTAAATATGACGATTTGACCCATTTTTTCCGGTTTACCAGTTTATTACTTACATGTTTCACTAAAATCTCATTATTTTACCCTAATTTGCGAATAAGTCCCAAAATAAAATTTACTGATGATTTGACCATTTTCTCTATGTAACATACATTTTACCGGTTTCATTGCTGACCCGGACGCCTAGTCATTAAATGAGATGATGAGATGGATATGTTGAGTTATATAATGCTATGTTTAGCATAAAACTTGATATCCTGATGTATTGTATATCTTTTTGGAACATCAAATGCATCCAACGAAGACTACAGTAATTACATAAACTAACAACAACTGCGTTATTTTTTACGTTTATAAGAAATATCAAATTGTCTATCTAATCTTATGTAACCCAATATATCTATCTCATCAGACATTAACTCATTTTCTGCCCTTTTTTCTTGGAAACACACATTTTATTGGTTTCATTGCTGACGTAGATACATAGTCATAAATGAGCCGATGAGATGAGTATCAAATTTTATAGTAAATGTGGCATTATATAACCCATTGTATTCATCTTATCAGCTAATTTAATGACTAGGTGTCTAAGTCAGCAATGAAACGGATAAAATGTATGTTACATGAAGAAAATGGTCAAATCATCAGTAAATTTTATTTTGGGACTTATTCGCAAATTAGGTAAAATAATGGGACTTTAGTGAAACATGTAAGTAATAAAACCGGTAAACCGGAAAAAAGTGGTCAAATCATCATTTTTACCGGTAATTCATGTTTTTTCGTAAATAAAATTTAATTTGTGACTTTTTCGTAAATTAGGGTAAAATTTTAGGACTTTTCTGGAGATTTCCCTTACAACCCAATTGATTTAGCCAATTTCCAATTTGATTTATTATACTTTGTTTTTAGATTTACTTTCAGAACCATGTTTTATATATTTAAACCATTTGTAAATAAAATATGGATTGGAAAAATGATATGTAGAAAATGATAAAGACAAAGCGGGCAATCTCAATAACTGTAATTATTATTTAATAGATTTAATTTAATTTAAATTTGATTGGGTGTTAAATTTGTTTATATTTGCTATCATCTTAAATAGATAGAAAGAAAAATACTTAAATAGCTAAGAAGAAAAGTAGGAACAAAAAGTAAAAAAAAATTTAATTTCTCTATAAGAGAATTAGTATTTGTAAAAAGATAAGAAGAAAAACACAAAATTTCATGTTTTCTTGCACTTTGAACGACAATTTTTTTACTGGTTATGTATTTTATTTTATTAACATTTCATCCATGCATGAAAGCTTAAAAAACCTTTGTGGTTTTTCCACCATCTTTACAAATACAATAGTGGAAAATCTAAGTTTAGTTGTAAAAAAAACTAAAAATAATGGTTGAAACTATTTATTATCCTTTTTGTTGTAGACAAATCAACGACTTCTTGAAAATACTAAAAACATTGCCCCATGCATATTTTTCGTATTTAGTCGGTTTATAGTACGATACACTCTATCAATGTCTCCGATATTGTTGGGCCATACGTTTTGGTAAATAAAACCATGGAGAAATTACTTGTCACATGATGTGTTGGTATGTGGGACTAAATGTACCAACCATGTCAAGTACAGATACTTTCAATTTCAAAGTGGACGAACCATAAAAGTTTTAGTTTTTTAATATTAGGCCGGAGAGAGTGGTGTCACATTCCATTTTACTACACTCCAATACCACACACAAAGAGTGATATACATTTGAAAGAGGAAAGAGAAAGAAGAGAGAGGGAGGAAGAGTGAGAAAGGGAGGAGCACTCCCTTTAGTGGCCGCACAACCCAAACCACACTCCCCACACAACATAGGAGGAACGGTGTTCGCACGGTTTCACATGTTATATAGGCTCAAACCGCATTCCACTTCCTCTGGTTTTACAAACATTATTTTTAGATAGTATCTACTCTGGATTCAAAATTATGTTTGCAATATCACTCTTGAATTGATATTACAAGCATTATTTTGAATCTTATTTGAAAAGTACTTACTTTTATGACAAGTGTAATATTCTAAGTGGATGTAACTTGTTCTTCCTCACTCTATTCTGAAAGTTATAAAATAATGTTTGTAATATCAATTTTCAATTGATATGACACTCACTCGGCATATTAGTTGAAATAGTTCTTAATTTGAGAATACATTGATAACATGCTCTCGTCGACTCACAACACTACCAATAATTTTTTGCAAAACGCGGAGGGTGGGGGTATAATATCGTTGGGTTTTATTTGTTGTCATCTGATCTCCTTTGATATCAGATTAGGGATTAGAAGCATGGAATGTGTTTAACATTGATTTAGTTTTGCGTTTTGGGTAGAGTGATCATTCTTGATGATAACAACGCATAAATAAGAATGATGAATTGACAAAATAAAGAAAAGAGTTCCGGGCACGAGCAAGGATTGAGTAGATGTGGATGGAAAAGGTAAAATTTACAGAAACCCTATGGGTATTGTTCAAACATTGTCTGTGACTCTTTTGTGTGACAACCAAAGTCATTCATATAGCTCGTAATGATGTCTTTCATGAATGCACAAAATACATTGAAATTGAGTTTGTCAACATGTTCTTGGTAATACTGTCTTTCTACTTTCGATTTCCACTACTAATCAAACAACTAATATCTTCACCAAAGCTCTCCTACCCGGTCATATTAATCTACTTTTGTCCAAACTCAATTTGGACTCTCATCAGCCTCCTTGAGTTTAAGGGGGGGGGGGTTGGGGGGGGGGGGGGTGGGGGTTCGCGTTCATATGAAAACTATAGCAACCTTCTTGGCAATTAAGCTCCTTCCTGGTTTAGTTCAAAGCTTAGTCTATATATTTCTTGTGTCGTTCGCTTTGTAATATCGTCTCTCTAATAAACATTGCTATTACATACAGAAGCTATCAAAACCATGGCGAGTTGGATCATCAAAATCATGGAGAGTTGGATCTATTTGGTATCTGAATTGACTATTTAACTTGATTGTGGTAACTACTTAAAATGTTGTTTTAAATCAAACTACATCGTTGCATAAGTTTGTTGCTATTCTTGAGCTTTTAGCTAACTAGATTATTATGTGGTGTTATAACCAATGAATTTCCTAGCATAATCTCATTACTGAATTTGGAGCAGATTGTTGGATCCGGTTGTCATAGGAATCGAAACAACTTGTAATCTTGCATTATAACTTAAGGCTAGGACATTTTTCATTTCATCAACATACAAGTTAGACTATAACCCTTTTAGTCTAAGTTTTAGACTTTTATATATTATCTCAAAAATGTTATACAAATCAAACACATGATGACATGGGTCGATGTGGAATACATTTTTATGAGCTCCAGATTGACCGATAGTACTCATAATTTATGTATAATTTACGCTTCTGTGTCTATATATTCTCGAAGATTAAAGTAATGTCTTGTCTTTCCAGTGTTTCTCCCTTCCTTCCTACTCCAAATAATTTATCTCACTCTTCCACCACGTCTCACCCACTCCTCCCTCTCTCTTTTTCCTATAATATATAAATAATATGCATATGTGTATATGTGTGTAAGTGTAACTGTGTATATATCTCTCTCTCTCTCTCTCTCTCTAAACTCTAAAGAAAAATGAGAAACAAAGGAAGCAAGTACCCCATTGCCTTCAAGCCGATCCTACTAGTCGTCTTCTTCCTCCTGGTTTTTGTTTTGGTAATATTACTCCGTTCATCATCTTTACCAACATCCTTTCAAGCTCCATCTGTTACCTCTGATTCAAGCCTACCCACCACCACCAACCCAACATCTTGCCCTCCTATGCAACACCAATTATCGGCCTCTCAAACATGCAACAAGCTTTCTCCGGCCACTGCCGAGACACTCGTTCACTACGTCACTTCAAACATAACCCCACAACAAACCTACAAAGAAATCTCCGTCAGCCTCAGGGTTCTATTGAAGAAATCCCCTTGTAATTTCTTGGTTTTCGGACTCGGTTTCGACAGTCCAATGTGGGCCACGCTCAACCACGGCGGCCGGACGGTGTTCCTAGAAGAAGACAAGTCATGGATCCAGCAAATCCAGTCAAAATTCCCGACTTTGGAGTCGTACCACGTCGTATACGACACGAAGGTAGCGCGTGCGGCGGAGCTGATGGAGATAGGGAAGAGGGAGGAGTGTAACGTCGTCGGAGATCCGAGGGTCTCTGGGTGCGAGCTGGCAATGAAAAGGGAACTTGCCAGAGGAGGTGTATGAAGTGGAATGGGATTTGATAATGGTGGATGCTCCGACTGGGTACCACGATGAAGCTCCGGGGAGGATGAAGGCGATATACACGGCGGGGTTAATGGCGCGGAACAGGGAGGAGGGGGAGACGGATGTTTTTGTGCACGACGTTAATAGGGTGGTGGAAGATGAGTTTTCGAAGGTGTTTCTGTGCGAAGGGTATTTGAGCGAGGAAGAAGGGAGGCTGAGGCGTTTCACAATACCAAGTCACAGGACTCGGTATGGTAGACCGTTTTGCCCTCTTTAGATCTAATTTGTTATCTTATTTCTACTAGGGTATCATTGTGATTTCATACTTATTTGTTTACTTTTCATATTTTATCACGAAATCATTTTTTCAAAATCTCATGTCAATTTCTTTATAAAAGAATTCATGAATTTAGGCGCTTAATATGAGAGTATATTTGGTCATACTTAAGGGTTTTTTTTTTCTTCAGAAGTCGTTGTGACATGAATGATTTTATTATGGTATTTTAATTAGTTTTTTTCTTATTTTCGGATTATATTTTATAAAATCTACATTATTGTATTACTGTTAATCAATTACAAACACTTTTGTAAAATTCAATGTTATAATTAAATTGATTTTTTAATATTTCTAATGTTACAATAACTTTTTAATGTATAATGAAATATAATGTTTGAATAAAAATTGAAAATATATATTATAATAGGAAAAATAAAAATAAATTAATATAATACAAAAATAACAAGAATATATTATTATTCCTTGCATTAACGTAGAAGCTTAATCATAGGAAATAAAAAAAACAAACATGAAATAGCTAAACCTTAAAAAAATACATGAAGATGGTTTGACTTTTAGCATATATCTAGCTGTTTTTTAATTTTATGGGGAATGTTTTTTCTTCTAATATTATTTAAATACATTATACATATTCCACAGAAAAAATAGAAAGAGCAAACCATCCAGTTTTAATGTATTAAAATGAGTATGGTCTTTTAAGTTATATTTTGTATAATCAATGAAATGAACAAAATAAACGTAAAGAGTGGATCTAATCATAAAAAAGTCATCTAAAAACAAAAGTGTTTTTGGTTCAGTGGTATCCGGTGTTGTTTTTTTTTTTTAAGATTGATGGTTCAAGTCCTGTTAGGAACATAAGTGGATTTAAGAGTACTTTCATACACCGTTCCCGAGTTGTAACAAAGAAAAGAAGAGAAAGTAATGAGAAAAAATAAGAGAAAATAAAGAAAAAAAATTGTGTTTTGTGTTTCCGAGTTAGAGAGAAGTGGAAAAGAAAATTAAATATTTTGTTCTTTCTTTCCAAATCCTTCCAAATCGGAAAGAAAGTTAGGAGGGACCACTTTCTTCTTTTAATGAAACTCAGGAAACAATTTTTTTTTACCTTCCTCTCACTTCCACTCATTTCCTTTCTTTTCTCTCCTTAAAATTAATTCGGGAACACGTGTTATAAAGTAGATTTGCCGCTGAAAAAAAGTCATCTAAGTAGATTTGCCGCTGAAAAAAAGTCATCTAAAGTCTTTTAAGGACATTTTAAACCATTCAACTCCGTTATTATATCTTTTAACTTTATTAAAATGTATAATAACTGTTAGCATATCAATCATTTGTTGTATCAAACGAACCAATTGTTCATGCATTCAATTTGTCCGTCCTATTGCACATGTAATTCAATTTGACAATCAGTGCGTCGAGCTTGTTTTGTCTGTTACTTAAAAAAGACACCATTTTAAAAGTTACATATGCCTTTTATTTAAGTTATTTATATTAAGGGTGGTTTATTGAAGAATCATTGTTAGTATGGTTGTATCTTATGATCTTATCACTCAACTAACAGCTTAAACGAAGCTTACGCAAAGTCGCATCTATTAAAATTGACGTGTTTTTTGAAATACAATATTGTATGACTAACCTTTATTCAGTCACCATCGATGACGTTCTTATGAAAATTGAGGTGTTTTTTTGAAAGAACATCTTAACCAACTTTTTACGAGAAAATGGCTTTCAATAAATATTGTAAAATGAAGGAGCAACTACAAAAAAGGAAACCAATGAACAATCCAGATTCTGTAACACAAGGACAATTTGCGTGGCCCCTATAATCAAATCAACTCGCTTCAAACATAATTAAAGTAATTGCTTTTTTATTGATCTAAAACTTTTTATTAATGTATTTATTGCATATCATAAACTGAGTTTTAATTCATTGTTGTTTCAAACGATTATTTGTTACAAACTTAATTTTAATTTTTTGTAGTCTCCACAAAAAGATATAACAATAAAAATTCAATGAAACTAAATTTTGCAATTTCATAATGACAAATTGCACTTTGGCATTAATGCCAAATAAGTTTCTCAATACCAAATTAACATGTTAAATTGTTCAAAAACTACGAAAAAAATTAAAGTTTTTATTGTAGATATTTTTAAAAGCAGTTTTATAGCATAAATCTTTTTTTCACAATGGAAAATGAAGATACTTTTGTTTCTTAAGATCCTTCTGTTTTGTGGATTTCAAAAAACCAAATTCGTAATACACTAAGAACTTTGAAACAGGAAAATAGAGTATAAGAAAAAAGTAATTGTTTTTCATATAGGGATATTCGGTCCGGTTCTCCGTTATTCCAATCTATCATTTTTGGTTTGCAACTCTTATTTCACCCTAGTCGCTCTTCTTTTAGAAATGTTCTTATTAAAAACAATGTTTTAAAAATCAGTTTTTCAGTTGAACCGGTATGGTGATCGGTTTCCGGTTCAATCGGTTTAACCGGTTCGACTACCGGATCGACCGATTTCTATAAATTCACATTTTTTTCTTATTTTCCTACACGTACATACATACGTATATAAATCAAGAATTTGACGCCAACAAGTACAAACATTAAAAATACACATAAAAACAAGTGGTAGATCAATCAAAATGCATTAAAATAACACATAACCATAAGTTATACATCAATCCACATACATCAAAATAAAAATATCGAAACAAAATATAGTTTTAGATAAATACAAACACAACAAAAAACTACATTACATTTTTCATATGCTTTTATTTAGAGAAATCTAAATAGACGTGTAAAGATCTGTAAAGTTTATTATGTAAAATGATATTTTTCCATGTGATTTTACTTAATTAAACCGGTTTAATTTAACTGATTCAACCGGGTTTTTGGAAAAACCAGCCGGTTCGTTCCAGTTAAGAAATAGACATAAAACCAATAATTGAACCGTTCGCTTCCCCGGTCCAACCAGCCAGTTCAAACTGGTTGAGAAATATGACAAGTTGCGTCTTTTTCATCTCATTTATTATAATCTCAAAAGCAACTCTTAAGTTTGCGAGTGAATTTATGTTTTTTAAGCACATTTTTATTTTAATTGCATATAATAGAACTGTTAATTTGTTGTATTAGATGATAATATTATTACATACTCTAATCCAATACCACATCAACGCACTTTCCATACATAAGCTGTAATGACTTACCCCCATAGCATTCCGGCATCATAACGAGAACAAATCAAACAAACAAAATCAGTTCATAGCATTCAAGTTTAATACTCATTTATCAATAAAAAAAAAAAAAAGAACACAATCTTGATGTTCAGAAGACCAAAACCTAGAAAGCGTATAAAAAGCATAACAGAATAAAAATTCAAAAACAAATTGGAACCAGAGGCTACATTCATCCAACTTAAGTACGAACAGGTGGAGGACCACCTGCACCTCCACCTGGGCGTGGTGCCTGACCTGCCTTAGGAAGATCATCCTGAAACAAAACAAAAAAGACAAACTAATAAGTCATATTGGAAGCGATTATATGATACTGAATAATCATAAAACATTTGAGATAATAAAACAAGATTATTATTGATATGACATATATACCCTTGGGCGACTGAATCGCTTTGGAGGCTCACGGTTCCTCCTATCAACACGGGATCGGACCCTAACGACTTTCGAGTGAATTGCACATGAAACACAGTACTGCATCTTCACGTATAACTTGGGAAGTGTATACTCTATAACAACAAAATAACAAAATTGTAGTCACATCATTTGATAATATCTAATTATCTATAACATTTTAACAAGTCAATGTCAAAAGTCCTTACGTTCAAATGCACAAGCTTCTTGAACATCTCTCACAGCAGCTTGCTCCACTATGTTCCTCACAAGGAATCTCTTGATAGCCTTGTCCTGTTAATCACAATTACAATTCTTGATTATGGATTTGAGTAAACCTTAAACAAATTTCTATTGCAGGTATTTTATCACTCATTCCTTCAAAAAATGGAAACCTAATCGAGTTAGTAAACATTTCAGCAGATCCTCAAACCAGTTGCAGGTCATTTCTCATTCGTTCCATCAAAGAGTTCTTAACCGGTCTAGTAGAAATCTATGATCTAATGCGCTTCAGATGCTTTAGCTGACAAAGAGATAAGGGGATCCTACAAATTATTGGGATCCAATCGTAACATTATATTCGAAAAGCTGCAGAAACTATATCATATGATCTCTAGACTACAAATGCATACATAGAGATCAATGTCGTTGCAATTAGAACAATCGTCATGTGTTCAAATTAATTGAATATTATAAGCAAGGCAAAGAGCGAGAAGAGACCTTAGGGCAACACTTGCCGCAGTTAGAGCAGCGAATGAACTTGACATGGCCACGACCATGCTTGTTGCGTCCGCCATTCCTTCGTTTGAAAGTCTACACAGATAAATCCAAATTTTAACAAAATCAGTTCACTTGAATTATAAGATTATTACGATTCGTTAATCGTGAAAACTAAATTCAGGCAAATAACAGACCATATTGCCAAGATCCTTTAGCGGTTTCCCCCGTCGACAAGGATGCCGGCGTCTGCTGCTCTCTTGCTTCTTTCTGCAACGTAGAAAGGTTTTATATGGTTGTTCTTTTGGAACCCTAGTCGGCCCATGAATGCATCTTATAAAATCCGCTAGTTTATTTGGGATCTAGTTGATAGACATTTCTATTGGGTTTATTTTTTCTTTTGAAAAAAATTAAAGCCCAATAGAAGTGCACATCGGCGCTCATAGGGTTTGTCTCGAAACGATTCTGTTTTTCGGGATCAGAATCGGAATAGAAACAGTGTGGTTTTCTTTGTTTGGCTTTTCTAGAACTTGTCTCAACCTTTTTCGCTCTGATCTCACGGTCTTTCGGTATGTATTTTTCGATTTTTTGGTTTCAATTTCGAGTTTTTCATTTAACAACAAATTGACTAACACCAAAATGATAGACTAAAATTTATTAACAATGATACACTTAAGTTTAATAAAAGAACAACTTAAGTTTAATAAAAGAAAAAAGGGAAAGAAGTTAGATAATGTGTGATTACAGATTATGTAATTAACACAAACTTTATATATTTATAAACTTTAGTTACCAGTCTTTTTTTAGATCGGAGTTGTGCCAGTCTCAGAATGGTCGGTCTTTTTTCTGTTCAGCCTCGAAACGGTCCAATTTTTTCAGACTGGTCCTAGACGGTCTTAAACTGTCTTTTTCAGTTCGGTCTCCATCCATTCCAAAAAGTCTTTTTATGCAACTCTACTTTTGAAACCCAACTCCCCATGGCCCAAGGGCTACCGGAGAGAAGCTTAGATTAATCGCCTCATGAATTTTCAAGCACCTCATGCATTTGAAACCCCCACACATTTTCAACTTCAAAATAATTAATCACACATCATGAAAAGTTTTATAACTTATATAATATGTTTAATAAGCAATTAATGAATAGTCTACTATAAAAATGTCATTCTCTTTGAGTAGACAAACAAATACAAATCACATACAAAATTCACAAGGAAAACAAGTTTAAAAGTTTTGTGCTGGTTTGAGGGCTTTGGACCATTTTTCATTTGCTTATCTTGAAATTAAACATCGAATGAGAAAAACTTAAAATATGTGGGTATGTAGGAAAACCATCTAGACATACATGAAGAAGTTGTGTGAATTAAATAAAATGGTGAAGACGACCTGAAGTAAAAAATACAGAAATACGTTAAAATAATACGGTTATACACTTAAAATATATAAAAATACATAAACATCTACATAAAAAACTAAAAAAAATACATAAATACATAAAAATACATATAAATACATAAAAATACATATAGTACATAATATAAAAAAAACACATAAAAATATACAACATATGTAAAATACTTAAAAATACATATAAATACATAAAAAATTACGTTTATACATTTAAAATACAGAAAAATACATAAACATCTATATAGAAAACATAAAAAAATATGTAAATATGTAAAAATACATATAATACGTAATACATAGAAAAACACATAAAAATATATGTAAAATACTTAAAAATACATATAAATACGTTAAAAAATATGTTTATACATTTTAAATACATAAACATCTATATAAAAAGAAAAAATTACAAAAATGATCCCTATAGTTTGTTAATTTCTTTGGATAAGGTCCAAAAAAAAGTTTATTAGCAAAAAAGGTCTCTATTTTGTGGTTTTGGTCCCTATATCGTTAAGTTTAACAGTTTGGCTATTAACTTTTTAAAAATGACGATTTTACCCCCATGAACCATTTCTACAGTTTTATCTTTTTACCAAACTATAAAGATCATTTCTGCAAAAAATTTTTATTTTATTGAATTATTGTTCATTAACTCTTTTAAATAATTCTTTTTTAATTTTTTTCTTATTGTATTATTTTTTATTGGATTATTATATATTAATAAATATTAGTTTCATTATGTTATATTTATATATTAATAAATATTATTTTATTATATTATTAATTTTTTAATTATATATTTTTCTAATTTCTTCTTTATTGGATGAACTCTTTTTTATTGGATTATTATACATTAATAAATATTGTTTTTTATATTATATTTATGTATTAATAAATATTATTTTATTATATTATTAATTTTTTTTAATTAATTTTTTTTCTAATTTTTTCTTTATTGGATTAATTTTTTTTATTGTTACACCCAATGCCGCCAATAGCAACATATGACAACCTCATCACAATCTATCGGAATCCTTCATATTCGCTACTAAGTCGGCCATATTTTGCTACAACCACCAGGAGGTCCGATTCAAACACTCATGGTCAATTCCTCAATTCGTTGCCTTCTACCACCTTGCGTCGTCATATCTTATCATTGGCAATCACCGATCATCGCATACATTCGGCCCTTCTTGACGAAAACTACAACGGTCGACTATCCACACAATGCGCAATAAACCCCAGAAAAACTACAACGGTCGACTATCCACATAATGACGAGAGTATTAGATTGATGGTTTTCAAACCACCATATCCAGTGCAGGTGGTGACAATGTTGTAGAACTCGTTCGACCGACTGCCGACTAGCGATTACTCGGGAATACTTGAATTTGATAATTCATGTAGCAATATTTTTAGGAAAATTCTATATGTCAAAATCATAAGTTTATTGAAATATAGAACAAAATTAGATACATGTGAATACACAAAAACTAAAATACACACGATGATTTCACTTCATGAAAAATTACTGAAAATTTAAGATATATATAGTAACAGGGGTAGGAGACGGTCCGATAGTGGTGGTGGTGACTGGGTGATGGTGGTGGTGTTGTCCAAAATATGTTATCTTCTAAATATTTAAAATAAATTAGGAGAGGTGGGGTGGGTGAGATTTGCTGGTATTTTTATTTAAATTAATAAAGAAAACAATTAAAAGAAAATAAAAACAATTAAAAAGTAATAATTATTATAAATAAAAATAATAAATTTAAATTAATAATCCAATAAAAAAATTTAACGCAATAAAAATAAAAAAATTAATTAAATGAAATTAATAATCCAATAAAATAATACTTATTAATAGATAAATATTATATGTTAATAACAAAATCTATTAATATCTAATAATCGAATAAAAAGAATTAATCCAATAAAAAATAAATTAAAAAAAGATAATTAAAAAAATTAATAATATAATAAAATAATATTTATTAATATACAAATATAATATATTAAAAATATTATTTATTAATATATAATGATCCAATAAAAAAATAATACAATAAGAAAGAAATAAAAAACAATTAATTAAAAGAATTAATGTGCAACAACTCAATAAAATGAAAAATAAAAATTATAGAAATTGTCTTTGTAGTTTGGTAAAAAGATAAAACTACAGAAATGATCATTAGAGGTAAATCCGTCATTTTCAAAAAATTAACAGCCAAACAGTTCAACATAACAAGGTAAGGACTAAAACCACAACAAAAACGCAAAATAGGGAAATTGTTTGCTAATAAACTTTTTTTTGGACTTTACCTTAAGAAATTGACAAACCACAACGACAATTTTTGTAATTTTGTCATATAAAAAGCTTTAAAAATTACATAAATACGTAATACATAAAAAAAATATGTAAAATGATTTAAATACATATAAATACATAAAAAATATGTTTATACATTTAAAATAAATAAAAAAATACGTAAACATATACATATAAAAACTTAAAAAAATAGATATATATATATATATATACACACACACACACACCCATAAAAAATATGTTTACACATTATATATACAAATTTTAACAAAATCTGCAGAATAGTTCCATTATTTTGGAAAAATTTACAATTTGGTCCATGACCTATGACCTGTTGAATATGTCAAAAATGGTTAAAGTGAATAAATTAGCCGGTTTTTGGGGTTTTTCAATTCAAAGAGTTAAAAAGTCTGAACTTTTATATTCAAAAAATAAAATTTAGGACTTTATTAAAAAGATTTCCAAAATATTGTGATTTTTTTGGAGATTTCCCTATTATGAAGGTGTTTGACATTATTTTTAAAATGACCTTTTTGTCTTTTTTTTTTCTTTTTGAAAAAGTCAAAAGGTTTGATAAGATGTTTGAGAATTCTAAAAGTTCTTATAGAATAACTTTTTGGTAATTAAGAAGAAAATGCATGATTTTTAAAAGTCATGGAATGTTGTCTTTTGATGACTTTTGGGGTTTTTAAAGGTAAAAAGCGAAAAGTTATTCTAAACATATTTTTAAAACTTCTTTTGTCAAAAAATAGTATTCCCTCCTAACTATATTAATACTTCATGTTTCTTTTTTGTTTGTCCGAAAATAATAGACTACTTCTAAAAATAAATGTCTACTTCTAAAAATAAATATGTCTTTTATCATACTGTCCTTATTATTAGTTAAATTACTATGAAATTAAATGCAACTACCATGGAATTAAATCCAACAAAATGATAAGACTGTTATTTCATTAAATTAAAATTAATGATATTTAATGTTTCCTTAATCTGTGTGTTTTTTTGTCTGTGAACAATTATTTTGGGACAGAGGGAATAAGTTAATAAGGACTTTCATGAAAATAACTTTTGAAGTAAAAAAGCTCACCCGAACACACCCTATATTTGTGTTTGAACTTTTGCATTTGAGACACACACACACACACACACACACACACACACACCACACACACACACACACATATATATATATAATATATATATATATATATATATATATAGATATATATATATATATATATATATACTAGCCGTTTACCCGCGACAAGCGACGGGTGCATATAGATTTTTCAGAATATAGTTTCTAGAGGCGATTAGTTCTTTTGCGCAAACATTTACTACATCTAAACAATTATCATTAAGAGTTATGTGAACAAATACAAAATCAGTAAAAATAAAAAATAAAGAGTTAAGTGTGCAACACTTCTTAATACAACACATTTGATGCATAGACTTCAAATTCGTTGAATTGTTCTGGACGATAACCATCTATATGGAGCATATATCTAACAAAAAAAAGTTCGGGACAAAAATCAAGAATCTGTGAAAGCACATGGACCATTTATGTAATTTTGTCTAAAACTTATTAAGAGTTTTAATAACAATTTTATGAACTTTTAATCATTAGATTATAATAACCAAAAAAAAAAGACAAACTCAAAACCACGTACATGTAATTACTAATGGTTGACTGCACGGTATTAATCACGCAACACTTATTTATACACCACATTTGAGGTATAGATTTCATCATCGTTGAACCTTTTTTTCCCAGGATTCACTAATCCCTTTGTATTACCACGTGATGTCCCTCTGGACAATGCAACGTAAAGTTGTCCATGCGAGAATACCGTTTTTGGTAGATATATCTACAGTCGGAATTGTTTGTCCATGAGCTTTGTTGATTGTCATTGCAAAACATAGTCGAATAGGAAATTGTTTTCTCTTCAACTTAGATAGGAACATGTCATCGTCAGATGGACATAGGTGAATCCTTGTCAAATATACCCTCTTGTCAGCATGTTGACCAACAATTATTGCATATCAACCAGTTGATATTACACAATCCATTTGATGGGTTAATATTTCGTAACAGTATTACCGGTCATCCAACTTTTAACCAAAGGTAGTGAGGGGTAAACCACTAACAATAAGTGAGTTTAAAAATTCCACCGAATATAAGTTATTTCTATCAGCTTCTGTTTCATCAAAACTATAGTAAATTCTCTCTTTTCCACCGAATCAACGAATCAAATAATCAATAATCTCATCGATACTCTCATTTATGGTGGATGATATTGCCCACGAAAAGATAGATCTATTGATTTGCAAAGACGAAAATATTGCATCATCAATCAAAGCTTCTATTAATTTAGCTTTATTAGTGTAGGGAATAAACATATCATAGATGCGAATAAAGCTTTGGTATGTCTTTTGTAATCGAATACAAAATAGGTGACATTTGTTGAAATTTTGAATGATATAGGCATCTCATTTGCCATATTATGAATGGTTAAATGCAAGAAACATTTACATAAATCATCAAACCTCACTCGAATATAATCTTTTTTTAAGTAATTCAATTACAATTATTTCATGAATATTTGTCACTTCTAATCGATATGATTTTCACATGTAGTTTATGTAGGAGATTTCACAATTGAAAATAAGTAAATGTCAGTTCGAGGTTCTGAAATTCATAAAAACTAAAATGCAGTTGAATTTAAATAGGACTTTTGTATTCCATGTATGTAATCTTGCTTTATACAAATTATTATTCCAACTCATGAACATAAATGTATCTCTACAGCTATGTTTACAACTTACAAGTTACACGAAACTAAATGCAAACTCAATTAACCAAGTAGGCAAGTCTAGAAACAATACCCTGCAGTATGTACCAAAGAAACGTTAACTTTTTGGATATTATCTTTATCAAACAAAATAAAAAGAAAAATGTATTTTTCTACAACTCTGTTAGTAGATGTAGTGTTTATTTATATTAAAACAATGCATATTATGATCAATATCATTTTTGACTTTAAAAATTACCATTTTAACCTTGAAAAGTTGAAATAAAGCATAACCCAGGAACAAAATTTCTAATTTTCTCTTATCCTTTGATTTTGCTGTAATTTAAAAAAAAATTAAAATGTTATAAACCTTAATTAAGGATAATAGAAATAAAAGAATTGTTTCGGTGTGGTATATTATTACTTTTTAGATTGATCCAACGGCAAATTGGGCGTTGAATATTAATTTAGATTGCACAGGGACCTAAATCAATGAAATTATAAAGTTCGGACCAAATTTGTAAATGATCATTTTGGGACCAAAATTGGAAAATCAGTTGTGCTCATGGACGAAAAATGTAACTCTTCTATTTTTAACTTAAAAATGAAAATTTTTAATTTATTGAAACAATTGCCATTTGAAGCTGTGGATGTTATTCAAGGCTATTCAAATTTTATTTTTAGTTTTTAAAACCAAAAAACAAACTAATTCTAGACAATCAAGTTGTTTAAAACCAAATGAATTTTCACTATTCTAATGTTTGGAAAGTCTCGGCCAGCTAACGTTAAGATCACTACTATTATTATGCAGCTTAGTTTATATATGTCCCCATTAAGTTAAAAAAAAAAAAAAAAAAAAAAAACAGGATCCAAGACTATGTATGTACTTACCAAGGTGATATATCTTAATTGTTGGTAAGGTTGATAATACATGGTCTGCAAAAGCAAGACCATTCAAGTAGTGGAACAAACTGCAGGCAAAAAATAACCTATTAATGAAGGTTTAAAGAACAGAAAATGATGCCACTTGAAGCATACTTAATTATATTTAACTCCAACTACATGCATCTACTACTTAATGATGCCACCTGAAGCAAGCAAACATAGAAACATAAATTTAGCTAATGTAAGAAAGCTTACGGATTGTCATTAGAAAGTCCAAAATATAAAGACATGAAACAATCAATTTAAAGAAACCAAACGTCTTGGGTTTTGTTCTTACGCTTAGAAATCAAGAAGATATTTACAGAAGCCAATTTTTTAATGGTTGCATCCATGTTGTCAACCAAAATTCCGAGAATGTCCCTACATACCTCATTGAAATCTAACACGACCCTTCACCTGATATCAAATCACACAAACTAAGCTTCGGTTTCATATATATACATTATTTAAAAACTATATACAAAATGAAGGGGGTAAGGGTACCATTCTCAAAATTTGACTCACAAAAGATATCAATATGTGGACCATAATGTCTATTTGCTCACATGATTACCATGGTTGCCCATTAATTTACATGTGCGATAAAAAAAATTCAAAATATATATTAACTATAAACCCAAAGAATAAGTTAAAGCTCCAGCTAGTATTTCAACAATTTTTATACTGTTTTTTTGAATAGATGGTGTTTCCCCGTGCAAATTGGTAACTATCAGAACATTAAAAGTGGTAAATGTGAAACATTAGGACTGTAAACAGTGTTAACAACTAAATGTGTACCAAATCAAAAGACTCATAAATATGTCACAAGTGGTCGTTCATACTGTTTCACAACATTATCTAATCACAACTAAACATGGAAAAAAAAGATTTAAAGCCGAGAAATAACATTACAATATGAAATCGACCAGCAAGGTATGTCTAAGATGAAAGTGACTGCGATGACTGATAGAGAGTCAAAAGAGTCATTTGCATGAGTAGAAGGTCCATTTTGGCAAGAATGGCAAACAGACCACCAGAAATCAAGAATCAACAAAAATGGTGTATTTGATCCCTTCAAAAACACACAATACAAGACACGGAACTCAAAGAAAACACATGAAATAGAATTAGAAACAAAAAACATTCATAAATACAAAATGGATTTTACGAATTTTACCTTTTACAGCAAGTAGCAAAACTAAATCTTCGAACTGCTTTTGTTCTGGCTAAACGAACATGTCGGAGAGAGACATGGTGGGTTTCTGTGGAAGCGACATATTTGATTTCGAGAAACAAATAATCAATCTATTGTCGTTAGGGTTTCTTGTTCCTGCTACCATTAGGGTTTTTTTCTGCTGGGCATGTGGTGGATGGTAGAGACGCAGACGATGAATGAAGAAGAGCAAAGGAAAGGTGGAGGGAGGGTTATATAAATGGCGAAACAAAAAAAATGATAAAATCGAAACGAAACTTAAAATATATATATCAGCTTAGAGCCAAACAACATAAATTGATTTAGGGTTCTTACTTCTTACCTAAAACCATCGGACAGGGTGTCGCTGGTTTAAGAACCACCACCTCCAAAACCTCCTGCAAAAAAAAAAAAAAAAAAAAAAAAATTGAACCAAATCATCAGAAGAAGAAAATACCGAAAAGGTAAGAATGATAGAGGAGTTATAAAACTGCAGCAGATAGGGAATGATGGTGAAGATGTGTTGGTCTTCGATTGAGAGAGCTTAAAATTTTAGGGTTTTATACGATTGAGATCGAAGATGTGTTAATATAGCTAGTGTTTGACCGATTCAAGTGGTTGAAAGTGAGGTTTGAACGATTCAAATGGCCGAGCAGAGCTAGATCTAGATACACACATGAACACCATGGAGAAGAGTTGTGGTGGTGAGAGATGCGTTTAGTGTTCTGAATCCCTAGTGAGAGAAGAGACGATAGAGAGAGCGTGTTCAACAGAGGAGATGATTTATAAAGTGAATTTCTTATTGACTGATTCAATTGATGCCGAAAATAAGGAATATAGGTTTAGCTTTGACCGATTCTTTGTAGATAGCTTTGACTGATTCATTTTCGGATAAGATTTATGTAATGCATAAATTTGTTGTATTTGATGTTGTAAGGTAAGGATGCAGATTTGAATATTTGATGTTGTAAGGTAAGGATGCAGATTTGAATATTTGAATATTAATTTTATATTTGTATAAATGTTTGTACATTCATATATATATATATATATATATATATTTGTTTTTTTTTCAACAAAATCAAAATACTTGATTAACCCAAGATAGACTTGGGTTTACTTGTTCTAATCGCATGACACAATTAACAACATTTCTTCACCAAATCGTTCTTATTAAAAAACGAACCAAAAGATATAAGATCATATAAACAAATGTTAGTACTTGTTTGAAACATATTCATAGAGTTGGATCACAATATGTTACAGTACCCGGTTCCATCTGTTTGCTTCTGTTGCTCTTCCTCCCTCTTCCCATCTTTCTTCTTGTGCTCTTCCTCCCTCCTCTCGGCTTCCTTTAACTTTTCTCTCAACTTTTGTATTTTCTCATCTATTTCCTTCTGTTTCTGTTTCTCCCTCTCTCTATCTTCTTTCTTCCTATGCTCTTTCTCCCTCTTCTTGGCTTCCTTTAATTCTTCTCTCAACTTTCGTATCTCCTCATCTGATTTCTTTTGAGCAGCTTTAGCATCCTCTTCAGCCTTCAGTCGAGCATTCCGCTCTTCTGCCAATAGTCTTTCTAATTTCAAAGTTGACTCCTTGAGCTTCGACCTCAACCTGTCACACCCAATAGAAAGACATTTATAATCAATTATATTATTATGCATGTTAGCACCAGCTATTTATATTCTAGCCCATATGCAAATCTGATAAAATCAAAGACAAAAATGCTATAATACCATTTCAAAAATACGCTTGAATTGTTCGTCACATGCTGATATATCCTGTTCATCAAGTCCCCTTGTCACTTTCTGTCAAGAATATATTGTTGGCACGAGATTAGGTCAAGTGTAAATTTGATATATATATATATATATATATATATATATATATATATATATATATATATATATATAAGATAATAAAAGAAAATTTTCACCTTTAACTCAGTAAAAATCTCATTGGTATAAGGCTTTCCTCCATTGTTTTTCGACACTGTGTTTACAAGAGAAAGAAGCTCCCGTACTTGACTTGATTTCTTAATTGGATCTTTTGTCTTATTATCAAAAAGAACATACCGATCCCCACACAGGCCTAGGGTTTCCTGAACCAATAATTGGTTGTTAATTGAGAACATAAGACACATAGGAATATAATAACTAATTGTTGTCTTACATCACCTGTAATGCTTTGGGAGATTCACGTAAAAAATCTACCAAACTCTCATTCTCTTCTAATCCATCCCCACCAGTGAAAACTATTATCATGTAATCATAAACTTCTTTTCCAAACAGAGTGCGCAAGGTATATATTGCAGCTTTTTCATCTTCTCCAAAACGATTGGAAATTGAGATGACAACTAAAAAAGCATCAACACCATGCCTGGCCATACGTATGCAGCTGACAATCTCTTGCCCAACAGTCTGAGAAGAATCAAACAGTCCTGACAGAGTACCAATGCTAACAGTTTAGAAACAAACCATATAAAACTTTTGTAACCTAGTCCATGTATATATATACCAGGAGTATCAATCACATTAAGAATCTGGCCATCTTCGAGTGCAGTTTTCTTCAGCTCTGAATTTTTTGTTACACCCGTAAACCCTTCTTTGATTTGAACGTCTGCATTCCGAGGATGCTATTCCCTGTAGCACTTTTACCAGTCCCAGTCTTTCCCACCAAAACAAGAGTTCGTGGCAAAATAACCTCACAGATTTCTTCAAACGAATAGCCCCCCATCATACAAATTGGAATATCTATCATGAACAAAACTTTAAATCAGTTTAATCAGCACAATTATAATGAGTGTATGGCATCATAAAAGGAAGTTCTTGGTACCATCAATGATAAAAATACAGTCATTTACACTTAAATTAGACAAAGAATAAGTGTGTACTTAATCAGATAACAAATATCTAATAAATAACTTATTTTACATTTGCCTATTCTACATGCACTTAAAAAATGCATGGAGACTTGCTTACTATTAAAAAAACAATATTTTCCCAGATTTAACACTGTCAATCTATACGGCTAAAAAGTTATGCTCAAGACTTCAAGCTCTGTTTTTTCCCTAACTTTTACCTGCGCTTTCCCTCTCTTTTATTACTACTTTCCTTTTCGAAGGTATAAAGCATTTTGTGTTATGTACTCTTGCTAAAGTCACTTTCTCTAATGAAAAACAATACAGACCAAAGCCTATTATGTTAATCCCCCTAGAATAACAATGTAGTTGATTTACAAGCCTGGAGGAACAATGGTAGAGCTATTTGGGTACACAGATGAACGTTAGAGTGATGAGCATTTTATAGACAATTCAAAGCAATAGAAAATTATCATACAAAAATTGTACAAAGAAAATACCTGAGAGGGATAGATTTCTAGGGTTTGCTGTTGAATGAAGAAGATGATGGTTGAAAAGGAAAATAGTCGCCGAGTAAAGGGGAGTGAGGGCAAACGGTCGCCGAGTAAACTATATAGCGTAATAGCGACTTCTCGGTAACCAGCACACATACGAATCGTTCTCTCTAGTGCGACAAAATTGCAAAAATAGTCGCTGCAATTGTTAAAATTATACTGTTTTGGTTTAAAAAAGTTTGGTAGTGCACCGGTGGTCTAATTTTGTATACTTTATGCGGATTTAGTCCCTATGTCGTTAACTTTAACAGGTTGACTGTTAACTTTTTTAAAAGACAAAATTGCAAAAATGGTCCCTGTAGTATGCAAATTTTTGGGGTTTTAATCCAAACCTCGAGTTTTTTGGATTCATGGTCCTTTTTGAGTGGTTTGTATGTGAAAATAGTCCCTCAAAAATTGAAATGACTATAATACCCTTAGGGTATTTATTTTTCATTTTTCTTTCATTTGTTTAAAATTTAATATCTTTTTATTCATTTTAACAATTAAAAAAAATAACAGAGGACCCACCTCTCTCTCTTTCTCTCTCTCTCTCTCTCTCTCTCTCTCTCTCTCATCTGTGAAACCCACCTTTTAGATATGTGCATCGATTGTGCCAACTGTGCCCACCGGAAATCGCCCCTCCACAATCCATCATTGTCACCGTCGTCCTCTATCTCCTCTTCTTCTTCGATGACTTCGCCTCTGTAAACCCTACATCGACGAACACGGCAACAAACCCGACTCAGTTTGTCCCTCTTTCTCGATTCATCCTTCACCGTTCGCCCTCTTTCTCAGATCTGCGTCCCTCCCAAACGACGAGTTGAAGATCGAAGTGGCAGTGTTTTCGAGTTGCTAAGGTTTGCAGCGTCTCGTTTCTTCTTCAGATCTCTAAGCAGACACGTACACTCCATATATGACTCGACGAAGGCGACGAAGGTGAAACCAGAGAAACCTTTTCTCTTTACGGAAGTACGCCCACGACGACTTCCTCTCCCTCCTTCTCCGACAACATCCTTTGCAAAAACCCTAATACAGCCACCCTTCTAGGGTTATCTCCGAGAGCGTAATCCACCTGAGGCGGTGGACGGAAGTTAAGTAACCGGAGTAGACAGAGAGGAGGAAAGAGGCAATGGTGGATTTCAGATTTATACAGACACATATCGATTTCAAAAACGAAAACATACACATACAAATCGATTTTTAGGGATTAACATACATAAATAGTTTCCAGAACGAAACTTACACATGCATACATACATAAATCGATTATAGATTGGATTTATGAGTTTTATTTTGAGTTTCAGAAAAAGATTTAGATTTATGAGTGTGTGTTTGTTTTTAGCACTTGTTCTTAAGGCTAGAGAGATTGAGAGTAGGTGTGCAAGAGTGTATTACCATGTGTGTTCTGAGAGAGAGAGAGAGAGAGGTGGGCCCTCTCATTTTTTTTTAATTATTATAATGAATAAATAATTATTAAAGTTAAAAAAATGAATTTAAAATTAGAAAATAAATACCCAAGGGCATTAAAGTCATTTCAGTTTACCGAGAGACCAAATCCGCAATAAAACTAGCTCAAAATGACCACCAATCCAAAAAAGTCGTGGTTTGGACTAAAACCCCAAAAAAATGCATACCACAGGGACCATTTTTGCAATTTTGTCTTTTTAAAATGACTATTTTACCCTCTGGGACAATTTCTCCAATTGAGTATTTTTACCAAACCATAGGTACCATTTCTGTATATATTCTTTTTAACTTTATTGAAATATTATATATTAGTTTTTTTTAATTTCTTTTAATTTTGGATTAATTCTTTTATTATTATTATTATTATTATATATTAGTAAATATTCTTTTTAATATATAATATTTAATATATTAATAGTATTATTCTAGTGGAGTATTGATTTCTTTTAATTAATTCCTTTTAATTAATTCCTTTTTACTTTCTTTTTTATTGGCTCAATTCTTTTTTATTGGATTATTATATATTAATAAATATTATTTTTAATATTAAATATTTATATATATTAATGAATATTACTTTATGGGATTTTTAACTTCTTTTAGTTATTTTTTTAATTTCTATTGTATTAATTATTTTTTATCGGTCCGAGTTTTGAGACATATTTTAGACAAAATCATAATTTTCGGACCGAGTGATAGTAGTGGTTTTGTCCAAAATATGTTACCATCACCCATGAAGAAGAACACGACTCCAAAAAAACCCAAGACAGGAAAAAAAAGGCATTTGTAAATCCTTCTAGTAGCTTCTAAGTTCTTTTTTACCCCTCAGCAATCAACGGATGATATCAACAAACCTACTACACATTGGTGGGTCAAACCAGCCGATGAATGGACATCGTGAGCTATTCGAGGGACAACCCCAAAAACGCCTACCCAGATTGACATCAGTCCATGATGTACGTACAATCGCATGATGACCACAAACACAAATCACCATTCTTTGGTTTTTAAAAGATTCAATTTTTGGAAGGGTTGAAGCTTTATTGAAAAAGAAATGGCATTTATAATCTATGAGATCGATTCCTGCGTACATATAGACGTTGGGAAGAAGACAAACACAAATTGACAAAAAAACTCCTCATATGAAGGGCATGTGATGGTGTTTGACGGATTTAAGTAAACATCGTATGTCTCAGGGATGGCTAGTGCAATTTTTTAAAACCACAATGATAGATCCTATCAAAATTCCAAAGGTTGGTCCAAACCTGTGAATTGACACAAACCACAGGGACCATTTTGTAATCCACTCTTTAAAATTAAGATAATTATTAAAAAATGCTAATATATTTTTCGATTTGTATATATATTTGGTCATTGAGTTTTTTTCATCCATATTTACTCCTTCAATTTTGTTAAATTGTATACACTCAGTCCTTATGATCAGTTACTCCAAGTAAGCCGGAAAAATGACTTAATAGGGTAATATATTTACCACTTTGTACATAATTAGCCCTTAATATTTTTTTACACATTTAGTCTTTAATATATATATATTTGTTGCAAAATATGTCGTTGTTTTCGTACATATTTGGTACTTATGACCGATTTTTTTATATTTACATACGGCATCCTACGTCAGGTGATCGTTAATGAGGTGTTCGAGGCTGCTGGTGCTTATGGCCACCACGACATCGACTTCTTGGTTGCTTAGGTATTGTGGTTTGATTTGGGTCTTGTGTTATGAATGTCGTAACTTCTTTATACGATCTTGAATTTTAACAATCTTTGTATCCACGCGTTCATATTTGAGTCTAAAACAACTTTTGTTTAGATTACTCCTATTAAAAGTTAGTGACCAAATATTTACAAATCGAAAAGTATATATTACCCTTTTATGTCATTATCCCTATAAATAACTATCTTGCTTTTGTTTTTATCTTTTTCATTTAATTTTCAGATTTATTTTTGGTTTTATTTGTTTTTTAATTATTTTATTGAAATAAAAAAAATACTCCAACAACCCTTTCTCTTCTATATTTCTCTTTCAAGAACTTCCCAAAAACCGCCATCCACCGTTGACTACCATCAGAAAACCACCACTTTTCTCTCTCTCTCTCTCTCTCTCTCATGAGGCAGAGAGAGAGAGAGATTTGTTGGATTAGGTGTCTAAGCCCATAACTATAATTGATATATACTTGAATTGATAGCAGCACAGTCCTTTTGGGTTGCCCTCAAACCTAGCAACTGGACAAGGAAATTATGAAAGGAGAGATATTGATTTATTATAAGATTAATAAATTAATATAAATGATTTATTAATATGTTAAAAGATTAATATATTAATTAGAAATCATAAGGTTTAATTAATAATTAGCCAGAAATTAATTAGAATTAATTTTGGGGTTAATTGTATTAATTATAAAGTGCAGGGACTAGTTTGCAATTATCAAATAGTTGAGTGGAAGGCTCCAGAACCTCCTTGGAAGGAGGTGGACGAAATCTATAGGGGAAACCCTAAGGATTTCGTCCAAGGGGCTTGGATAAGGCCTTTGGATTAGCTTAGGCCCCAAGCAAAGGAGTATTAGGGTTTTCCCTAAACCCTAGATCCCTCAGCTATATAAGAAGCCTCCCAGCTCCTAAATTCGACCACTCTTTCCTTTGTGAAACCCTAGGGCCGAATTTTGCATACCCTACTCTCTCTCCTTCTAGTTTCCTTCTTGCTAGCTTTTGGGTGTGACTCCATTAGGGGCATTACATTTGTGGTGCTAGGCTTCCAAGAAGATCAAGTTCAAGAGGATTAACAACTGTTTGCTATAACAATTGAAAGGTATGTAATTCTAAAACCCTAGTTTGTTAATTTTGAAAATAGCCTCTATCCTCTAAGGTTCTTGTTTTGCAATTCAAAGTTATATGTTCAATAGTTAAAACATAGATCCAAAGTAGGTTGAATGTGAACTTAGGAATTGTTTTTCTAGTTTATTTGTTTCTCCTAAAACCCATCAGTGGTATCAGAGCCATTGTTTGTTTTAAATTGAATTGCTATAATAGTTGAATTGTAAATTAGGGTTTATAGCCATTAAACCCTAAAGGCCAAGATTTTCGATTTTTAGGGTGTTGGTTCAAAGGGTTTTCGAAAAACCCTAGCCTCCATGAACCCTAATCAAAATTAGGGTTAGGGTTTTGGAAACCCTAGCCTCCTCCCTTGATTTTTGAATTTTACATGGTAATTTAGGGTTTCTTGTTTTGGGATAATTGTTGCCTTATTGGATAATTGAGAAAAATAAGGAAATTATCCTATCCCCATATTTTCAAAATCTAGAAGGGATATGGATTAGGATTAAATTAATTGTTTAATTTTAATTAGATAATCCTTACAAGATTTAATAAATTAGTTAAAAGTTAATTAATAGATAAATATTAAATCTAGTATTGTTTATTTTTAAATTTAAAATTAATGGCTTAATTTCGAAATTTATATAAACTCTAAAGTTTTAAAGGTTTAAAGCACACCTTATATAATATTATAATTAAAAGTTAAATATTATATATGTATAAGAATATGGTCAGTCAAATCGCTAGTATGCCTCATTCACGAAGCTAGTCTATAAGGGGGGGGGGGTGGTAAGGAAACTGTCTATAAAATGGTAGTTGAATGGGTGTCCACTCTCACCACCGCTTCCTGATTAGTGGAGGGTTGTTAGCCAGAAACGGATTTGATAGGACAACTAAATCTCATTAAAAGATAATTTTATAAAGAAAGTACTAGAACATTATTTTACAAAAAATCTCAACTCTAGCTACTTTAGGAAAAATGTGAAAAGTATGTTAATCCATGAAATTGCACATTATGCTTTATTGGTCGTTAGTGGAGCGTGTGTGATTACCAACACACTAATAGGCACTAATAAAGAGTAGTAATGGGTATCTCATAATATCTTTGGTGGAGCGTGTGTGGTTTACCGGCACATCAATAGTTAATAATAAAGACAATGAGGTTACCAATCACTTTTGCATGGTTATTCACATCTTGTTTGTGGTCCTCGGTATCCCAGTCACAAATAGAAGAGCATAATCCGAGATTAAAACATGCCGTTGAATAGTATCAAATGTATCTCAAGAGGAATTAGGAATTTCACTTCGTTTATTTCGTCTAATGGTGGAATTGGTGAATCGTCATTCACCTACCTTTAT